GGGGCGGGTCGTGGCGGCCCCGGAAGGGGCGGACGGGGGCCTGCGCGAGCCCCCGAACGCGGCCCTCACCCACGTCGTGATGGACCGCCCGGGGCTCCCGCCCGGGGTCGCGCGGGTGGATCGACTGGAGTACATTCAGCCGCAGTATTTGTTCGACTGCCTGAACGCGCGGGCCCGGCTGCCGGTCGAGGGCTACCGCCTCGGGGAGGAGCTCCCGCCGCACGTCTCGCCCTTTACGGTTGCGATTTCGAACGAGCCGGCGGACCTCGCGGCCGTCGAGGAGGCGCGGAAGTTCCACCCGCGGATTGTGAGCTACGTCCCGGCCCGCGTCCACGCGATTCGGCGGTTTCTTCAGCCGAACTACACCCCGCTCGAGGGCGCCGACGCCCCGCTCGCGAAGGACCCCGACGGCGACCTCAGCGAGGAGGAGGACCACGCCGCGCTGCCCGAGCTCGACGCCGACGACGACGTCTCGCTGGACGAGGCGGAGCTGCGGGAGGCCCGGCGGCGGCCCGCCTGGGGCGACGAGGCCGTCACCGAGAACGTCGAGCGGTCGAAGCTCTCCGCGTTGAAGGTGCGAAAGCAGCGGGAGCAGAATACGATGAACGCCCCCACCGACGAGGTCGTCGCCCGCCGCCGCCGGGCGATCCTCCGCGCGAAGGAGCAGCGGCAATCGGGCGAGACGACCGCGGCCCGCGCCCGGCGGAAGCAGCGCGAGGCCAAAACGCAGGACCGAATCACGCGCAAGATGCAGCTCCAGGTCGCCCGGAAGAAGGCGGCGCGGTATTATAAGATGGTGAACGGCGTCGTCGAGAGCGGGAACAAAAAGGCCGCGAACCTGCAAGCGAAGGCGAAGCATCTCGAACAAGGAAAGCTCCGCAAGGCGGAGGATGGGAAGGGTCTGGTGAATACCCGACTCGAGGCGAGGCGGGGGAAGCACAAGGAAAGGAAGCCGGCTAATCCGTATAAAAAGCTGCCGAAGTGGGTGCGTTAACTGCGTCTAAACCGTACATTATACATCTATATATAATGTTTAGTTAAGCTTTGGATCGGTCTGCCTTTTTTCTTGTTTGGCTTAACAAAGTGAAAAAAGTTGTGTGATGGCCTTTTTTTTCTCTTTCGTGTAAATGATGCGCAACGAGGGGGGGTTTCGTTCCCTGCTGTAACTAACCTTGAAATTAACTAAAAAAAAAGTAAACACAAATTATGTTTTCTTATCCTTGTACTGTTGAACTTTGTTGGAAGTGATATTTTTTGAGTCTTGAGGAATAGCTTCACATGTGTTTCTGTGTACAGGCAGTAAGGGAAGTACATTTAGGGTAATTTAGAATTTGGGTTTTTATTTTCGAAGCCATGGATGGATGTGTCATTTGTATCGATGCAACCTACTCCGATTCCCTTTTTCCTCCATTCTTTATTATGTTTCCCTATCATTTTGACCCGTTCAATCCCTCATGAAACCCTAATCCCGATCCTAAGCCTATAGATAGGCCTATAGCGGTATAGCGATAGGCCTGAGGACTTGAAGACGCCAACTGGACGATCCTCTTTCGCGCGATCGATCGAACCCCACAAAGATGGACTTTATCGGAAAGGCCTTGATCGGCCTGCGGGGCCTGGGGCGGCGGGTTCAGGACTACCGAAGCCCGGGGCTTTCTCCGGGGGGGGCCTGGCCGCTCCTGCGGGGCCTTTCCCCCGCGCGATGGATGGTGTTGTGCGCCGTCGGGCTGGGGGCGGCGGAGGTGGGGGTGTACGTCGTTTCCTCCCGCGCGGCGGGGGTTCGCGCGCGGCGGGAGGTCCTGCGGCGCCTGCACGACGCCCTCGCGCGGTGGGAGGGGCTCTACGTCGAGGAGGTCCTGCGGTTTTGCGGGCCCGGCGCCCGCGCGGCGGAGGACCCGGACGCCCTCGCGGATCTCCTGGGAAACGACCCCGCCGCGGCCGCGCGGATTCTCGCGTTGTGGGATCACCTCGGCCAACCTTCGCCCCTTCCGCCCCGGGCGAGGGCCTTTCACGGCGTCATGCAGAGCTTCGCCTTCGCCTCGGATTTCCCGCTCGAGGGGTTTCTTGAGTTGTGTGATGTGGGGCGGTATATTCTTTGGCTTTCCCTCGCGGAGGATCGGCGTTTGCTGCGGCGTTTGGCGGCGCTTGTGCGGTATGTGCTCTTCCGCCGCCTCGCCCTGCTGGAGGAGGGGCGCTACTACGGCTGGCTCTGGCGCCGCGTCGTCCTGGCTGGGGACGTCCACGACGCGGACGACGGGGGGAAGCGAAATCCCAAGCCGACGCCCACACCAAAGGGCCCTCGCGCGGAGGGCGGGGCGGGCCTGGGCTCGATGCGTCGGGGCTGCCGCTACTACGCGGCCTGGCGGGTGTACGGCCGGCCTTCTTGGCTGGTCCCCTGCGCCGCGGCGGATTTTCCCGCCGCGGCCTCGCCAGGCGACGGCCCAAAGCCCCCGCGGGGGTATCTTTGCCTCCCGCTGAGTTATCTCCCCCTGGCGGCGATGTGGCCGCACTTGGAGGAGGAAGTCCTGCGGAAGGCGGCGGCGCGGGTCTTTCCCGCCTGGGCGGCCGATTCCCGGGCCGCCCTCCGGCGGGCGGCGGCCCGGCTCCCCCCCGGCCCTGGCGAGACGAAGGAAAAAAGGGGGGATTTCGCGGGGAATCCCGCCGAGGGGCCGCCGCGGGTCCTCGCCGCGCACTGCGCGAGCGATTATTGGTTTCTCCGCTACGTGGTCCCGCTGGCGGGGCAGCAGACGCGGCTCGCGCGGGCCGCCGCCGCGCGCTTTTTCCGCGAGTTCCTCCTCGACGGCGTCGTCTCCGCCGCCGGGCGGGGGGTGGAGGAGGATCTTTACGACTACGCCCC